GGGTAGGTATGGAGAGGCAAGATCCTAGCTATGGAGTAGTTGTACACACGAGTATTTAGCGAGTTCAGGCCCTTCTCGGAGGAAGTAACAGCCCCTACGTCTCGGAGCCCGGAGGTGGTCGAATGGTTTCTGTGTATATGAGTTACAGGGGTGCGAACCCTTTACACTGAGGAGGGGGGTGGCTTATATAGAGTCCGCCAGACCCCTCCGGCCCTCAGTTATGCAGGGTTTAAAGTACATTAAGATAGGGGGTTACTGGTAACGCCCTCGTAAAGTGCCATGAAGACTATTAAAGCTACTTAATGACAGACCGTTGCGTGCTGAGTGGCTTTAGGTCTCCTGGCCGTTGAGTGGTTGGCTTCATGGTCGAGTGGCTATCTTCATCGTCGAGTGAAGTCCCTCTTGGTCGAGTGAAGTCCCTCTTGGTCGACTGGAAGGTAGCTTCTTCTAAGGATGTCCTTGGGTAGGGTATCCCAGATAGGTCCATGACCCTACCCTAGGTACATAACCTCATCACCCGGGAACTCCAAATGAAGGCGGCATTCTCAGCAACCTCGCCGCCGAGGCGGAGGAGGCAATAGACCTGACTGGAGGCCAGTTGCCCCTTCGGCTTCGCGCATAGCACTAGGGACCGATGGTCCTCAGCACCCGCGCCGGCGGCCCTCGGCGCAATGAGAGGGAGCAAGAGGAGGCGCTCCCTAGAGGCCGCGATGGAGAGCCGCGGCACCAGGACCGCGTCGAGCCCAAGAGTGTGGACCACCCAGACCGACACCTCCGAGCAGGCGTGGGAGGCAAGTGCCGGAGGCACAACGCAAGGGGCCACAGGGCAGCCAGTGATCCTCCCAAAAGGCGGTCATACGCCCGTCACCAACGACAACCCGGGAAAGCGATCGGTAGAGAGGCACGAGACTCCGGAGGTGAGCCCAATGCTCGCCGGCCAGCGAGGGGCAGTGCGCATCCAGGAGTAGGCGCTCATCGAGCGACGCCCAGACCCACGACGCCCACCTGGAGAGGGGCAAAGTGTGGAGTCTGTGGTGGACCTTCAGCAGGAGCGAGTCATTTTGGGAGGCAAGGTCGCGGACCCCCAGACCGCCCTCCTCCTTCGCACGACACACCCGATCCCAAGCGACGAGGCTTTTAAAACAAACATCAAATCTTTTCTACTTTATGTTATGTTTTTGGCAAATTTTAACGTGGTCCCTCTTACCTCTTCTTTTCATATGAGAGGTAAGAAGGTAAGAGTTACTTTTTTTCTGTTTGGCAGTTGACTGAAAACAATTCCAACACCGTTTGATTTTCACACAGAAGAAGATAAGGGGCAGAGCGCTGAGCTGACGGGGAGGCCGTGGCTGGTCGCGACAACTTTGTTGAGGGGGTGGCTGGGACGGCTCGAGAAGGGCAGAGCAGCAAGGTGACGTGGGTGGAGGCAGGAGAAGGAAGAAGAACATTGGGTTTACCACGCTCGCAAGCAACAAATGCATAGGCGGTTCCTTTATTTTTAGTATAAGTAAGGTGTGACAGCATATCTGCTCATATAAAAGACTTGGTTGGTGATGATGATGTGTCTGTCATCCATCATTTACGATCGTCCGATCTGCATATAAGACGCGTGAGGTAAGCTATGATATTTGCAAAAAGACCCAACCACTTTGATGCACATTGACAGAAAAACCCCTTAGTCTCTTCAGGCCCGTACGGAAACTTTGCTAGAAATCCAAACGAGGCAGTATTGTTACTGGATTATTGTTGGGCCTAATAGGTAGGCCATAGTTCATCCATGTGCCTAGGCTAGTGCCATCATGCAATGCAATAATTTGGGCCATAACATGACAAAGTGTTGCAATGTTGGGGGAGGAAGGCATGCCGGATTTTTGGGGGCACATGGTATGGTATGCTAGCGCAAAACAAAAAAAGTTCCTAACATGCAAACCAGGAACATGGCATGGTTAGATATCAGGGTTCAAGTTTTACCACTAGATGCACATTCATGACATCAGACGATAAGTTTACGAATAGCGTCTACCATCTCCTCGTGGATCCCTCGAACAACTCATCGCGCTTTCCATGAATGGTTCATCCAAGAGTCGCACGTGCAACGCCTCCAAGGTATTCGCACATACAGAGAGGAACGTCCGGCAACAGACTGCTAGATCTGATCACATGGTAAAGGTGTGGAATTGTCTAACACTTTCCATGGTTTCTCCCCTCCATTTATAGAGACGTTCAACATGGGCTCAACACTTAACGCCTGTTAGGGCTCTACGCCCAGTATTCCGCTCGGATTTCAGTTTTTGTTTCCTCCGACACTCCTTTTCATTTTTGTTTCTTTTATCATTTGATTTTTTTTGCTCTACCTTTCAAAAAATCATGATTATTTTTCCAAAAAAATCTGTATTGAAATTTATTGATAATTATTGAAAATATGGTTTTATAAAAAAAAATCTTAGAATTAAAAAAAATACAATAACATTTTCTAAAATCATGAACATGTTTACACAATTTCTAACATTTTAAACTTTGTGCACATTAAAAACCACGACCTCTCAGCCGGGCTACTCTGACGAACAATTTGAAGTACGTAAACAATATTCACAATTTTATTTTATTACCATCAGTTGTGTTGATTTTCATTCATATATATGTATTGACCCCCTTCTTTAAATTAGTTGTGGCAGATGCGAGATGAACTCCTACCCATGATCGCATACGAGCAATTCAAGAAATAAATGTAAGAAAATCAGGAGCTGCAATGCAAAAATTTGGCCACCAGCCCATCAGCTCTATATGTGATTTCTAGACAGAACATCACGAAGAGCAACGAATAGGACCTCTAAGCGAGAAATACCTGAAGCCACCTTATATGGCCAAGCCTATTCGGCGCCTTTGGCACCGTTTAGAGTACATTCCACAAACAGGCGCACACCTCCTCCTACACTTGGGCTCGGCCTATTTTACTTTTTTTTTTCTCCAACCGCACATTTGGTAAGTGAGGCTGCGTCAATTTTTTTGAAGTGAACACGGACGGTTTTGTGAATCTTCCGGTCTGTTTTGGGAAGCTTCATGCCTTTTTTCTCTCTTTTAGGCCCTGTTTGGTTCATAAGTTTTAGGACTTTTTTAGTCCCAACTTATAAGTCCCAAGTCCCTAAAAAGTCCTTACCTGTTTGGTTTCTGGGACTTATAAGTCCCTATAAGACCATATTACAACTATAAGTCCCTATAAGTCCCTCCTTGAGAGTCTTATTTTATAAGTCCCAAATGCCCACTTTAAGTCCCTATAAGTCCCTCCTGTTTGGTTTAGATGGGACTTATAGGAACTTTTTTAAGTCCCTAAACCAATAAGTCCCTGGAAACAAACACCCTCTTATTGTCTGTTTTCTAGATGTTTTTTATTATGATTTTTTGTTTCTTTTTCCTTCTTCATTTCATTTTTTATTTTCGAAATCCATGAACCTTTTTAAAATTTAGGAACTTTTTATCCAATTCATGAACTTTTTCTTGTAAACTTTTTTCCTTCAATTTGTGAACTTCTTTTCAAATTTGTGATTTTCTTAAATGTATGTTTTTTAAGATCCATAAACTTTTTGTGAACCCATGAACTTTTTCGAGTTCACGAGTTTTTTTTCAAATCTGCGAACTTTTTTTGAATCCGTGAACTTTTTTCAAATCCACAAACTTTCTTTTAACTCATTAACTTTTTTGAGTATGTGAATTGTTTTTGAAATAGTTATTTTTTCAAATTCATGAACATATTTTTTTGAATTACTGACATTTCTTAAAAAAACACTATTTCTTAAAAAGTCAATTGTCAACCGGACAATGGTGGATCGGTTATATGTGAGTAGCAAGGCGGGAAAACCGGGGCGTCCCATTTTAACACTTGCTTCCTTGGGTTGGCCGGCCCACGAAGGGGTTCGCGTGAGCGTTGGTTACCCTCCCTGTCGCTTAAGGCGCTGGGAGGAGGTCACCCTTATACGGGGCAGCCATGTCACGACCATTAAGCCAGAAAATTTTATTTTAGAAAAATGCTTAATAGGCTCAAATGTCAATAGTCAGTTTTAAGAATGGGAAAAGGTATAGGGTGTGGCTAGGTCTGAGATGATTGAGATCTAACCAAGTCTCAGTCAGGTGACATAACATATGCAAAAGAGAAAAAGAAAAACTAAAAAGAAATCGACGAGGCGGCGGTGTCCGCAACCGCCGCCAACATCAGGAAAAGTAGAACATGCGAGGCCGCCGCTGCTCGGGTCCCAGGAAGGCCATTGCAGGCGCATCGCCGACATATGTAACCGGTGCTTCGTCCTCTCTTGCAAGCCACCGTGGTCCCCAGCCTCCAAAACCAACCTTGATCCGCGCTTCACGGAAGCGGGATGCTCCCCTTCCCCTCCGGCTGAAGCACCCCTTTTGCCACTCCGTCGAGCGGTGCAGTCGGACATAGGCAAGATACGAGGGAGGAGGTATATACCTCCGGGGCTCCCGACAGTCCGATGAGCGGGTTACCGGACATGAGGAAGACAAAGGGATCCTACTCGCGGCCGTCCGTAGACTAGTGTATTGTATCGTGTCATGGGAATGAAGCTCCGCACGGCCGGACATGCACATAGTTTTACCTATTTTAGATAAAAATATGTAAAAAAATGTAATGAATTTCGTTCGGTTTATATGAAATCCGCTGTGTTTGCATGGATCTCATCCAGTTTATTAAAAAATGTTTCAAATATATATGGACAACGTTGGATGGCCGGCTCCCGGATCAGTGTTTGCGGACTGGTCCCACGCGCGGACGTATGCGGAAGGAAATTTGCGGGAGATGCCCTAATGCCACTTGTTGAGCAAAGCACTAGTAGTAAGGAGAGAAAGGGAGTAGTACAGTAGTAGATCTCGATCCAGAAGAACTCCCTATACACTTTCGGCTATAAATAACCGAGCAACAGACAGGTTCCCCTGCCCACCCTATTATTTGTGTTGATTTGCAACCATCATCTGCTCTTTCCCAAGAATCAATGGCTCCACCTTCCCATCTGAAGATGAAGATGAAGATGCTCGCCGTGGTGTGCGTCCTTGTGCTGGTCGGCCTCAGCTTGAGCCAGCAGGCGACGGCGTCGGGCTGCGATGACTGCGCCGACGAACACAATCCGGCGGTTTGTGCTCGCAGTTGCACTGAATATTCCAGCGCCGAGCATTCCTGCGCTGGCTGCCCCATGCTGCAAAGCATGCTTTCGTGCTCGCAAAAATGCTTGGATGGTTGCTTTCACGCGTGCGGTAGACGGCCCTGAAGGATAGCCTGCATGCATCTTCGATGGCGCCGTTTACCATCATTTTCCTCTTGTTTCCTTTCAGCCTTCCGTTTTGAGCCAAGCATCCCTCGCGCGTGTATGCATGCGTGCTGATTGGTGTGAGGCAAAATGGCAATAATGCTCAGTAGATCTGGATCTCTGTTCTAGGGTTTGTAATCGTATTGTTCCTTGTGTTGAGATACCATTGTTTGTTTGTGTTGAATCAATCAACCCCCCCTTATTTACGTTCTCGCTCATCCGTCCGCCCGATCCGAGCTTGTGATTTTTGGAGCTGCCCGTCGAAGTTGCAGCGGACGGAGACCGTGCCGTGGTTGCTTGCCGCACGGACGTGGTTAGGGGACATGGCCAGGAGGCCGGCGTTGTTGGCAACTCCAATCCCTTGCGATGCTTCCTCCACGCGACCACGCACCCATTCTGGAGTGGCCGTGGAGTTCGCAGATACTCTTAGGGAAGAAGGCCCGGCGGCGGATCTCAAGCTCCTTGCAGAGCCGCGGCCTTCGCACAAGCCAATTTCCCTACTCCCTCTCTTTCAGTTTATAATGCATGCGCGTATCCTTAGGTCATCAATTGACCAACCTAATACAAGCCATACATTACAAAAAATATATCAAAATAAATTTCAAATGTTCTATTTTCAAAAGGTATAATTTTTGTGTTATATAGTTTATATTAGGGTGATAGAATTAGCAACCTAGATATATGCGTAGGACTTATAAACTGAAACGGAGGGAGTACCTATCCTCGGTGTTCTTCCGGCAGGACTCGACCGAAATGCTAAAAAAAAAAGAGTCCATCGCCGCCGGGGACGGCACCAACTGGGGCGGTGACCTCGCCGCAAATTCATAAATGCTTTGACGAGCTGACTTAGTTGCACAGACATGTACTAGTGGCGTGTGAAAGCACATGCAGTAATTGGAGTATGCTCGATCGATGCGTGTAACAGAGTAGACCAAATTATAATTAACTAAACCGGGGATACTTCAACAAGTTGATACTCCATCATATTTGAGGTCAGAACGATTACCCAGCATATTTTGAGATCAGAACGATGTATTGATAAAAGTACTATAGATTAAAAACCGAATCATGTCAGTCGGCATCTGGCTGCTGCATGGAGTGGATCGGTTGACCCAAAGGTTGCAACTTGCAAACAACTATAGATGCATAAAGCTAATACCGACAGTTGACTTGCCAAGTATATTAACTAGATGCTACTAGCATTTTCAAGGATTCCGATGTTTCGCCTCTAACACGTACAGATCAGATCTGTCTGTGCATGATTCCGGTGGTAGTCCCGATGGGGGTAGCACGTGTAGCGAAACTGTCCTATCTCAAATCCAGCTCACGTGAGCTCGGTATGAACAGTAAAATGTGAACTTTAAAAAAAAACACCAAAAAACTCTGAGTATTGTTGTGAGAAACTTTGACAATTTTTTCCAATGCTTGCAAAATTTCATCATAGAATGACATTCATCGAAGTCCTAGCAAAAAAAAAATCAGCACCCCAAAATGCTTTTAAAAATAACATTTATGGAGCATCGATTTTTTTTTGCCAGGACTCTCCCACGAATGTTATTTCGTGGTCAATTTTTGCAACCACTTAGGACATTTGTCAATGTTTGACACAAAAAACATTCAGATATTTTTTGAATTTATTTTCAATATTTTAGGAATTTTACTGTTCATCTGAACTCATTTGAGCTCTAGCTGAGAAACATCACGTCCCGTCTGTAGCCTCTAATGGTGATGCTCAAGTTGACCACCGTCAATCTCCGCGATGGCCCTGCTCCTTCGCCATGTTGTCGAGGATTTGCCATCCTTCAACACCATTGAGACCCTTTTGTCATTTCTAAAGGACACATTCTGCACCGACGACTTAGGATCCTTGGCTGACAAGTAAGATCTCATCAACCACAACCATGAGAAGGGCACCCATTATGACTGCTCTTTCAAAGGGAAGGGGCCCATTCTCTACAATAGGGAGGGCACCCATGATCTGATATATTCCAATGGGAAGGAGCCCGTATGCAACAACAGGGAGGGAACCCATGAGTTTTTTACCCGTGAACTTTGGGAATGTTTGACTATTTTTCTTCTTTTTTCTTTGCATGTTTCATCGGTTTTGTCTTTTTTATCTCATCATGTTTTATTGTTCTTCTTTTTCATTTTAAAATTATATTTTTTGGATTTTTACAAATTTATGAATGTTTTGAAAAGCAAGGAACAACTTTAAATTTACTAACCATTTTTATTTCTTGTTTTCAATTTACTGGACTTCTTTTCAAACTTATGAACAAAATTTTAAATTGTTGTGCATTTTAACTATGTAAAGATTTTTAATAAATTTTTTCAATTTAATAAATTTTTTCAAGTTTCATGGAAAATTATTTTTAGCAGATATTATAAACAAATAAGGTGAACATCTTTAGTAAATGGTGAACATTTTTCGAAAGCTCTCTATTTTCTAAACAATTTCCAAACTTTCTTATAAAAACATGAAGATTTTCTGAAAAATGGAAACATTTCTCTAAAAATGTCAAACGAATTTTAGAGAAACTTTTTTATATTTATTTAAATCTTTTTTTAAAAGGGAGCACTTTATAATACATTTAAAAAATGTTAACTTTTTTAAAAGAAAAAGGAAACACAAAAAAAGAAAAGGAATAGCATCCAAAAATAAAACCGGTAAAGCCTTTAGAAAATAACCAAAAAGGAAAAATGAAGTCGAACAAGAACCTTCTGAAAACCGATGAAACCGACCGCATGACATTCCCAAAATTGAAATCAGACAATATTCCAACGATTAATTGGGCTGGCCCATGTCCCTGGCTCGGAACGCTGGTCGACAAATGGAAATGACCGCAAAGTTTATATGTCATCTATTCTGAGCTATATAGCAAGCTCTCACCTCTTGCACTATAGAAGGGTTTGGGTTCTATTATTAGTTTTATCAGGTTTATTTTTTATCGACATATGTTTTATTTGTTCTTGATTCCTTTTGTTTCATCCATGGGCTCTATTTTAATGTTTCTAGGTTTCTTTTTTAGTTATGCTTGTTCTTTCATGCTTTAATTTTAATTTTTACATTCAAAGAAATTACAAAAGTACTTTCAATTATAAACAATTTTTTAATTGTATGAAAAGATTCAAATTATATGAGTATTTTTCAAAAACAAATGAAAAAAAAATAAGATGTGTTCAAACCTTTTCTGCTTACATGAACATTTTAATGAAGTAAAAAACCATTATAAATACAGGCTCATGTTTTAAAAATACATAAAAAATTGAATTGGATGAACACTTTGTAAAGCATATATAGAGACATTTTCAAGTTGTAGATTATTCTTTGAAAAGTACATGCACATCAATCTTTTAGCAATGGAAAAAAATAATCCACAGTATGTTTACAGTTTGTTTTTATCTAATATTCATGAAATAAACGTATGAGCAATTTTTTTTACATTTTTTGCAAGTTTTCAATGAAAACAAAAATGAACTACACTTGTGTTACTCGGGTGCACTGACTGCAGCCCATTAGCCTTCATAACGGGCGATGCCTGCGTCACGGCCGCGAAAGGCCAGATATAATACGCGCCCGTGTCCTTGGTCCATTCTCTTTACGAACGTTAACCTTTATGCTTAGATTGTTAGGAGGATAATAGTAGCATCTCCAGCCCACCAGGATTCAAGTCCTAGACTTACACTGGTACTCGTATTTTCTGGATTTATTCAATTTCTGTTGGAACATTTTTGAGAGATTATTTAAAACAATTAATAAACCATGGCTGTCTCTAAAATACAAGCCTTTGATACATAAACTTATGTAAAATAAGACGGCACGCATGGCGCGTACGCCGTACACATACATGCACGTATGATGTATAGGATGCATTACTATGCACAAAAAAAAACCTTCCGCGAGGTGTTTATACGTGGTTAATTAAAGAGAGTAAGTGCATGCAAGCCCTATAATCCAAGATGGACGCGTGGACCACGTAGACACTAGTACTGATCGCGGAGCAAGCTAGCTAGCGACGACCTTCTGCGCCTACGGTGGGTCTCGCCGGTGGCCGGCCGGCTGACCTTGACCTGCAGGCAGTAGCATACATACATATATGTAGCGTCACATGTATGCATGCACGAGCATTCCTACATATATCGCCATGCACGCACAGACGTCGACAAAGCTAGCTACAGCTAGCTATGTATTGCCACTGGCTCGCTGTCCGGTCCCTACATGGCTCGGCCGGTACTCAGCGTGGTCCGATTGCGGCTATGCATGCGTGCTTTGTCCAATATGTCTGCAAGAGCTCCCACTTGGAGCACCGTCGGCCACCCGTATGTGCATAAGGACATCTTTTAACACTCACCCGCAAATCACCGGACATCGTATCCGTTCACGGAGTCCGAAGACACGGATGCAGGAGCCGGGCATTCAACGCTCTACCTGCATACATTTCAAACGTTGTTTCAACTGAACAGACGAATTCCATGCAAACCGGGTAATATTCATACAAACCGGAGCACACTAATTTATTTTGGACAATTTTCATTAAAATAGGGGGGTGGGGGGTACCGGACTATAGCGGCATCCGTCGTTCAAGTCCTTTTTGTTCCCATCCGATGACCACGTCCTCCATCTGTCATCTCTATGAGCGGCGGTGACAAGACCCGTGAAGTGAAGATGCGGTCTCCGACGAGAAAGATTAGAACATGGGGAAACAGACCGGTCCACTTGGGACACAAGACCCACTTGGTCTGGTTGCGGCTATGCATGTGTGCTTTGTCCAATATGTCTGCATGCGCTTCCACCTGGATCTCCGTCGGCCACTTCCAGCGATGCATAACTACATATTCATGCCACTGCAAGCATGGATTTGTCGATTTAGGCGTCACTGATGACAGGAGATGACACAATCCGGGTGAGGCAGGAGTGTGGCGGGTCCTAAGGGCATTGGCGATGGCGTGTGCTGGCTGGC